CGGCGAGTCAGGTCGGTGCCAAGCAGCGCCGCGCCGACTCGGCTGGCGCGGCGGCCGCGACCGCTGCGTGCGGGCGGCACACCACCGCGCCGCGCCGCGCCGCCGCCGCCGCCGTCGGAGAGAGTGCGCACCGCACTCACCGCGCGCCGCTGACCTTTGAAAGCGAAGCCAGACGGGGTCAGAGGGCGACCGCAGTGCGGGCTCGGCGGGCTCCAGGCGGCCGGGGGTCGACCGCCGCGGCGTGAGGAGGGCACCGGAGGCGGCGCCTCTGGTGAGGGCCGTGGGACGGCTGCACCGTTCGGCTGGAACCGGCTCGGGTGTGGCAATAGCGGAACACCAGAGCGTGGCGAGCGCACCGCTCGGTGGCCCCTCCCCTGGTGATCCGCGCAGATACTGCGCCATTGCTCCGCCGCTCGCAAATGGCATTGCTCCCATTTTACGCGCAGCCCGGCATCGTAATTTTCTGTTGAACTACGGGTGTTCTAAATCCGGCAGGCAGCCGGACGAACATGGACCGTATTGAGCTGGTGGCTGTGACGGCAGCAGGAATGTCGCAGAAAACGACTTGACGCGATCCGTACATCTTCGATGTCAAAGGTAATTGGCATTTAGCGTCCACTGATTTAAGTACTCGAGCCGATGCTGGTCGCAACAAAAAGTGCGCGAAAACTGCGCAAGAACGCAACGAGCGCAAAAAGCGTACCAGGTGCTGAATGCTGGCAGCAAAAACGAAACATCATCAGGACCATAGCTGTGCCAACAGTGGTGATTGGTAACACTCAACATCATACAAGACATCAACAGAACGACAGAGCTGCGGCAAGGCCACCCTGTTCTCCTGGAAAGCCGAACAGGGTCGTCTATCCTGCAGCGGAGAAAAACCCGCAGCACTCGCAACGGGGCTGGCTATTGGCTGACGGCCTTCCTGATATAGCCGCATCCCTTCACTGTCAAGGCTGACCAGCCTGTGCAGTCGTGCAAGGCTTGGACGTGACTCAGCGGCGTCCTACGCCTGAGCTGCATCAGAGATTCCGCGCTGCACTGAGGCGGGACTGATAAGCGAACTGCAATGACATCACTGCCATGGGCTTTGTTTATCGCGCGCATTCACCTGCAGTCGCGTCAGTAGTTACGCAGATCTCGCATCTAAGGCTCGTTTATACAGCATTCAACGTGAAGTGGGTTGTAATAACGCGTGATAGCATTTTCGCGCCCACGTGTGGATCCGAAGACGTTAGAATGTTTAATTTCAAGGAGTCAGATTTGGCAAGCAATAGCATTGCTGCACTTTGGCCTTAGCCGTCCGGAGGGGTCCAAGAAGACAACTAAGCTTTGAGCCACCAAATCCGACTCTCATAATGGTTACACCCACAGCCACGCGCAAAGGACAATGCGTTCTCTCTCGACGTTCGGCAGCCACGGTGTCGTTGTCCTCCCTCCCCCGGCCTCTTGCATCCGCCAGTGACTGACATAGATGTCTGTGACAGAGTGGCAAGCGTGCCCATAGGTTGCAGAATCGAGGACTAATATTACCACTTCTTTCACAATGTTTGACGACTTTTATAAAGCGCATGTATGCTTCGAATAGTGTCACGATCGAATCCGACAGGTCCTCCAAGAAAAAGGGGGCCAATAATATATTTATCCTGCTCTCGTTCGTGCAGCACCATAGGATGGAAGTTAAATGTTTTCGAACACAGGTAATAATATATTCATGCCGCTCTCGTTCGTGCAGCACCATGGGATGGAAGTTAAATTTCATCGAACACAGCGGCGGTTGCCGCTCTGCCCCTCCCTTAACCCCTCATCCGCCGGCTCAGGCTACGACGATCAAAACCGTATCACTATGAAGGCATATCAAAGAATGGACATGAGTGTAGCATAATGCATGATCAAAAACTATCCAAGACCTTAGTTAAGCTCTGAAGTGGAGGGATAATCTTGATGCATGACGGCTTGTAAGGGAGTTAATGTCAATATTGATTGCGAGATGCAAAAATAGAAAATTTGCCAAGAGAAAGCGAATTAATGGATCCCTGTCACATGTAAATTCATTAATTGATGTATTCACTGGAAAATGAAACACAAAAGTACATCTCGAAGTCAGTTCGATGTGTGGAAATCAAATCGCTGAGTGAAAATGAGCATTTGATTATCGACGCCCGGAGAGGTGGTGTGGGATTACCCCTCGTTTGACCTGTGAAAGCGCTGACGCACAACCGTCTGACAACCTCGATTTCGCGCACCCACACAAGGTGGCAGCTCACGACACGAAAAGAAAATGAGCCACAGGGACCGCCCCTCCAGCTCTCCCATGATACTCTTCCTCCTGACAGAGGCTCAGTCGTCTCTCCCACCTGCCCGGCATTCCTGCTGCGTGGTACCACACCGCCTCCAGGCTGGGGTCCGCCCCTTGGCATCCCGTCTGAATTCCTGCGATCCATGGACGACTGTTTACCCCGCGCTGCGTCGATCCGTCAAGATTAAACCCACGGCGGAGGGGGCGGCGGACGAGTCCATCGCGCGAGTCCACGGCGGCGGACGAGTCCATCGCGCGCCGGCGGGGAGGCCGACCACCGTCCACCCACGGCGCAGCTGATTACAGCGCCGGCTCGCCGACGGAATGCCATAAACAAGAGCGGGCCGGCCCGGACGCGCCGGTACCGCCGGAGCGCTCACGCATGACGGCCGGCCGCCGGCCGCCGGCCGCCGGCGCGGCGCGCCACTTTTTGTCCGGCCGTGCGAGCGAGCCCAGAGCGGCGCGCGGGGAGCAGCCGGCGCGCGCGCTGGGCGCGGCGCGAGCGGTGAACGCGCACGTCAGGCCGTCACATCAGCCGCCTGGCGCTGTCGCTTTGATGGAGGTGTTGGAGAGGTGAGATGTAAAGAGGTGCTTGCGAGGATAGAGGTGAAAAGAGTATTTGAGAGGATAGAGGTGCAGAGGCGTTGAGAGGTGAGGTATAGAGAGTTCTTCGAGGGGTGAGATGTAGAGAGGTGTTTGCGAGGATAGAGGTGTAAAAAGGTATTTAAAAGGAAAGAGGTGTAGAGAGGCGTTTGGTAAGTGATGTGTAGAGGAGTGTTTGAGAGGATAAAGGTGTTTAATAAGGTGTTGTTCGGCCAGATTATCACAACGACCGAAGTACGATCCACTCGTTGCTGAATGTTTTGCAAGTCACTTGCAACGGATACACGACCCTGTTTCCACCAGCAACAGCACAGTTACGAGTCATGAGCGGTGGGCGAGACGCAGCAGAAGCGTGACGCATGCGGCGGACCCTTCAGGGGAGCCGCGCCGTCTCGGACCGCGTCGTCGGCGGGATGCCTGCTGGCCTTCCGTCTCGCCAAGTCGGCTCGGGGAGCCGTCGCCAGAGGACCTCCCCGCAAATTTTGTCACGCCGCGCCGCCCCGGAACAGTTGGCCGAGCTGTTTATCGTCCATCTTGGACCCGCCGGCGTGTGTCCAACGGATGCCGGCCGCTGCGCTCCGCCATGCATTACCGAAACGACGGACGACTGGGGCCGCGGCCAAATAAAAGTCACGCAGTACGAAAAATAATGCATTTTGGGACCCACAAAAGTTTTATGCTGCATGAAAATATGCGGAGACATGGATTGCCCCTTGGAAAAACAAAGGGTATTTTGGTAAATACTCAACCTGCAATGCACTACATGCCCACCGTTCCGACTGTCAATGGAGAAGCCAGCAACAAAAACAAAACACACTGATCGCAGATCTGAACAGGGAAAACTGATCAACTTAGGTAAGTTTTACAAGTCATGCTTGCGCTTGCCAGCAAGACATGCATGACAGCCCGGCCGGTGTTTTGCACGTCCGTTTCCCAACCCTGTCCCGATCGTGCGACATTTCCCTCCGCTAATCTCACGGATTGCACGAGGAGGCTCCGGCAATCGGCCTTTCGGCGATGGGCAATTACTGATTCCGACCGCCATGGCGAAATGAGACTGCAGTCATCCGCGACCGCCGGCCATCTCCGCACGACACCGGCCCGGGCTTCCAGGAACGTCGCGCGCTGGGCGGGATCAGCTCTCTGCGGCGTTGGAGGCCCCGCGCGGCGCGCGGCGGCGGCCGGCGGCGTCCCCGGAGACTGCGATCGGCCTCGGAGACTGCAGCGGGGAGAGAGCGGTACCACCAGCCGGCACCTCCGGCCGGCGACCGGGGCCAGCAGTCGGTCGGGGCCGTGCTGACACCATCTCCGCCCTCCCAGTGTCGTGGGACGTGTTACGGCGTGACGACGGATCAGTGGCGGGATGGTGATGTCAGCATTGGGTTACCCGGCTGCAGTCGAGGGACCTCATGCTCTGCGGAAAGAGTGGGATCGGGGGTGGGCAGAACGAAGGACAGGCTTATGGGTGGCGGTGGTGGGTAGTGGCAGTCAGGACAAGCCGGGTCTTGTAATTTTAAAACAATGGAGCCAATACCATGCACGCAAGTTTGTCAAAGCAACCAAGGCTGATCAATATGCGGTTACAAGATTGTGCTTTTGTCTCTTAGTAAACCCGTTTTGGACGTGATGTTTATGCTCGAGGAGCACCAGTCATCAGCGCTCGGCGGGCCCAGGTCCGAGTTTTTCTGCGCGCCAGCGCTTCTGAGAAAAACTCGGAATGGCCAGCCGACCTTGTGACGCCCTTGAGGTATCCCTAAAGAGGCTGGGAACGGCTCAGCCAGCTGGGAAGCGCCGACTCAGAACGTAACGAGGAGGGACTCTGGTGGATACACCATGTGCGTGCTGTCTATGGTCCGCCGTTTCTGTGTTGCACCGCTCCATGTGATAACTGCATATTGATCTGCTTCTTGGAATTGCTGTGAACCATCACTGATATTACTGGAGCTGGAGCAGCCTGTGGAACACTTTGATCCAGTACATACGCAAGTTAGCGTCCACATTGGAATAAGCCTTCCGAACATCATAAGCGTAGACGTGGACACAAACACGAAGCCAGCGCGCCCTGGCCGGCCGAGGCCGGACGGACGCCGGCGTACCTTCACAACCGCCGGAAGCCGGAGTGGTGCGAGTGATGGCTGAGCTGCGACACCGAGTCGGGGCCGCGGTACATGCCGGGCCGCACCTCGGAGCGCTCCAGCTCGTCGGCGCTCAGGTCGAGCTCGTGCATCATCTGCTGCATCTCGCGGCTCTTGCGCGCCTCGTTACGCGAGTGCGGTCGCGCCTCGCCGCCCTCCAGATTGGCCAGCGAGCCATATGAACGCGACCGGTGCTCCTGCTGGATCGAGAAGCCGAACGCCTTCTCGTTCAGGTGGTTGCGCCGCTTGTAAATGCCGGTGTTGGGCGGCGACTCGGTGGCCTCCTTGCGTGGCTTTCGGCGCACCTTGCGGCGCCGGTCGACGGTGGCGTACTGCTGCTGCAGCAGGTAGGCCTCGTGCGGGAAGTGGCCCGGCTGGTAGGAGGCGGTCGGGCTGAGCGGGCGCGCCGACGGCAGGTACGTCGGCTCCTCCACGGCGCGCGAGCCGGGCCGCACCGGATAGGGCAGGGTCATCACGGCCGGGCCGTAGCCGGGCATCATGGGTGGCAGCGGCACGGCCTGCATGTGCGGCGGCGGCGGCAGCGTGCCGTACACCAGCTGCGGCGGGTACAGATGCGCTGGTGGCGGGCCGCGCGCCGGCCGCACGCGCGCCGCTCGCTGCCGCGGCGAGCCGGCGCCGCGGCCCTGGCTGGCCGGCCGCGGCGCCGCGCCCGGACCCGGCCTCTCGCCGCGCGGAGAGCGCTCCTGCCGCGACGCCATGTTCAGAGCGCTGGCGGACCGCTGCGGCGGCCCGCCCATCCCGTGGCCGTTCGTGGCGTGGCTGTGGCCGTTCATACTGGGCCCGGGGCCGTGACCGTTCATGATCTGGCCGTGCCCGTTCATGCCATGGCCGTAGCCGTTCACGGCGTGAACGTGGCCGTTCATGGCGTGACCGTGGCCATTCATGGTGTGGCCATGGCCGTTCATGGCGTGGCCGTGGCCGTTCATGGCGTGGCCGTGGCCGTTCATGGCGTGGCCGTGGCTGTTGACACGTGAGGGCGAGGCAGGCGAGCCACGCTCCCCGCGCACTTTCTGCTTGCGCACCTTTTTCTTGACCTCGGTGTCGATGGGCGCCTGTGGCGGCGGTGGCGGCGGCGGCGGTGGCGCGGCTGGCATCAGCAGCTGACGAGGCCGGGCGGCGCGCGAGCCTGTCGAACCGTACACGGAGGCGCCGCGGCCGGCCAGCTCGTACTCGTTGTAGACAACCTCGCGCTCGCTGCGGCCCGAGCCGGCCCACACCTTGTGGTTCTTGTCGCCGTTGTAGACGGATAGCTCGTCACCCTGGCCGTTCTCGGGCGCGGCGCCGCCATTGGCGAGCGGCGGCGTCGCCTGCTCGGCCTGCCACTCCTCCACCTTCTCGATGACGTCGATCTGCGCCTCGGCCACCGACTGGGCGGATGTCGCCTGCGCCGGCCGGCCGCCCGGCAGCGTGCCGTAGATGGAGCCGTACAGGCCGCCGTCCATCTGGCGCGCCTGCATCGAGTCGGCGTACGCGTGGAAGCAGCAGCGCACCAGCGCGTTGGCCGGCGTCTCGCGCTTGCAGATGAAAACGTGACACTCGAGTACCTTGATACCGGTGGTGCGGCGTAGGATGGCGGCGAAGAGTGGCGGGTGAGCGATGCTCGGGCTGCGCGCGAATGGCGAGTCGAGCGGCAGGAAGCGCGCCACGCGCTCCTTTTCGCTGCCGGAGCTGGCCGGCACCAGCACGTAGCGCACGGCAGCGCAGTAGTGCAGCACCTCAATCGGAAAGAAGCGCGTGAACTTCTTCTGCTTCTCGTCCACATTCTCGAGCAGCAGGCCGTTGCTCCAGACGCTGAGCCACGAGTCGATGCCTTTGGCACCCGAGATGCCCTCGCTGGGGTACAGCTCGCGCAGTGGCTCCTGGATGCCCTGCAAGCCGTCCTTGGTGATGTGCGGCACCGATGAGCCTAGGTAGAGCACGCGACACCGGCAGATCGGCGTCGACTCCGACTGGGGCGGGCCGCGACGGTGCGCCATCTTTGTCACCTCAGTCACGCGCCGGGACTGTCGCAGTCACTCGCCGTGGGTCCCACAGTCACTACTAGCACCGGAGTCGGCGCCTCTGGCGACAGCTGATGACCTCAGGTCAGTCCGTCACGCATCGCAGGCGTCCGTTCACTTCGACCGCGCCCCTCCTCCGCCACGCGCTCACTCTGCACTGCGCTAGGTGTGTACAGCCTGGCAGGTGAGCACTTCGCGCATGCGCACAGGTGAGGCGTGCTGCTGGCAGCTGCCGATGTTTTGACCTTCCATAGCGGTTTCGGGGAGCCGGCAGCCAATCAACGCTCGACTCCGATTCGGCGACCAATGAATGCCGCCGTAACATCTCGCTCCGCGCTGGGAACTATACAGCATAACACCTGACCAGAATGAAATGAGACTCACCGCAGGAGGCAATGACCCGGCCAGAAAGCTCTATCCTGGTGCGCGCGCACGCTCGCCGATCGGCCGACCTGGGTCAGCAGGCGAGACGGGCAGCGGCGGCGCCACGGCGTCCGGCAGCCCTCCGCGTCACGTGCGCCACGTACCTCAGCTGCGGAGTCGAGGAATTCGCCGGAGGGCAGGCGTCTCTCCGACGCGGTCACGGGGCCGCTCGGCGGAAATTCCCGGCCGGCGTCGCTCCCCACTGCAGTCTGTGAGGCAAGGTGGCACGTCGGGAGATATCCCCGCGCCCGTTCATCAGACCGGACGCTGTCCCACGCCAACGTTGCGTGCGTGCGTAGAAGTGCTCCTCTGTGTGTCTAGAATTGCTGCCTTGCTACGCACCTGCTGCCGGACGCGGCATGCTAAACAGGGCGTCGGCCGCACACCCCCACCAACTGTTTTGTCGCGAACGGGATGACGCACGAAATAAGGCGAGCCCGGGGCCAGAAATGTTTGCATTCGTAACACTTGGAGGGCCGGGGTCCCACATTTGGAGGGTCGGTGGCCTCACAGAAGGGTGCAAGTCAACACGCTTGTCATGTCCTATGTGTTCACTCGAAAGGCAGTTATAAAATCCCACATGTGCTAAGGTTTTAAGCTATGGTGAAATGACGTACAACTGCGCTGATGAGTCAAATGTACCCTGGAAATGCAAGAGCATACTATGCACAAAACAGCCCGAGCGCCTGGGGAAATACCAACGCTGCCTGAGAGACCATAAGGGTCGCTAGGGAATTCCCCCTGGAGACGTTGTGGTTTCCTGAAAATATTCTTCTCCACGGCTGATGGTTCCTTGAGAGAGTCTCACTGATGAGAAGTGATGACTTTAATCTAGGCTTGGAGCTTTGGGTAGTGTTTTCTGAGGCTAGCTCACAGCATCTCCATGATTCCAAAGCCCTTAGGTGTGACCCCCAAAGGGGATGGGTACGACGCTTCTATTCATAGACTCGCCAACAGTAAGATATAATTCCCTAAACAGCTGTTGTCAGCAAGAAAAAATATTAAGATTTTTGATTGTTCAAAGATCTTGGGTGTACTTGGATATTGGTGTGCTTCTTCAAACTCAGATTCATGGTTTCGCACCCGGTTGAGCCAAACCAAAACGCAGCGGTAGATCCAGGCTTTTGTCATGGGGAGGGGCCGCATGAAACGTTGTGCACCCCAGAACTTTGAACCTCTCCAAAAATACTCTGATCCTACCCATCCATTTTTAAGGTTCTTATCTGGCTTTTAGTATAACGGAAACTATCTTCTTGTGCGCATCCATAGAGAGCGAGGTGTGGTGCGTGCACGCACTACATATAAGATTTACGTACACGCGCGTATACACATCAGGTATACACGCATGGAGCGTGCTCATTTTCTCCAGATCAAGTTGGATTCTACAATTTTAAAGTGCAGCATTTCGGCGTCGCAAAATGAGTTAAGTCTGGCCGTTAAATATCACCCAATCAAGCATGGCACTTGATCCCATGATTGTCGGCTAACCGCTTACGGCGACCAGTCGGCAAGCCGATGTGATTAGCTGATGCCCGATGACGATTTTTATCATGATAAACTAGTATAAAATGTGATAGGACACACACTGTGTTAAGAGTGTGGCATATAAGTTAGACGAGCGCCATACATTCAACAGCCAAGGAGCATAAAATAAACAACGTCGCTGGCGAGTACAAATTTACCGGAGCAAATGTGGCTGCTGCTATTTGTGACTAACGCGCCAAGAAAAGAAAAATTGTAACCCTGCAGGTCTCGGGCCATTGGACGTTACATTATTCAGCCAGGCACACGAGCAGACGAAGCACCATAAGTGACGGTGTGCTGGCACTCGCAGGCACATGTGGAGAATTTGGTAGCTGAATCAGGTCCACTTGATCACGCAGGAAGACCCAAGACCAATCTGGAAGGCTTGGAGCTATTAAGGGTGCACCGGCGGGTCAACAGGTACGGCCCCCACTAACAGCGTAGGCCTTACGAGAAAATGGGAATTCCCAGCATCAGCAAGCAACGAGGGCTCCCTTACTGACTATTGGGGCCAGCAGCTGACGTCATGTTCGTTTGGACGACTTCTTTCACATACGTGGAACTTTCGCGGCTGGCTTTCTGCCGGGTGGTTAGTGCCTGTCGGGCTGACAGAGAGCGTATCGCAGCATGCCGCCGAACCCTGTTTCTGCAAACAGGGTCAACTCTGCCGACCAGAGACGACGCTTACTGTCATATTGTCGCTGTCATATTGTTTTCCTTCTAGAATCTTTTTAAGAGCACTGCAGCGTGGTCTGCTCGGGAGCAGTGACTCCACACACAGTGCGAATCGATCGAGTGCGGCATGCAATACCTGCGCAAGCTAGCTGACAAGTCTACGACAAACTGGAAACTGATCTGATCGCCACTAAAACGTTACCAACAAATCACGTACATCACCTGTCCCTGCAGCGATGCTAGTCATCACGTCGCCTATGATCAGCAACGTGCGACTTTGTTGGACGATGCTTTGCTGCAAAATTCAGCGACACTGCTGCGATGGTATATGGTATAGCGCACCCGCCTGATATTTGAATGCTTCTTGTGAACTGCATGTGTGGGAAACCGCCGTAAAAACAGTGCTTTACGGCCCGTGGTCTCTAACAAGGCTTGTGGTGCAGACAGCATCAGCACCCAATTCATTGCTGAATGTGCTGACCAACTTGTGATTTCTGCCAAGATATTCATCCATCATGGTTGTATCCGGCGTTGTTGCGGAGACGTGGAAGAGTACAAACATCATTCTTATGTTCAAGAAAGGTGACAAAGAGTGCAATCAAACCATCGGTCAATATTTCTGTCTTCTTTCTTTGGTAAGATCTCAGAGGGCGTCGTCCTCAACAAACTTCAATGCAATGCCACCTACCCCAGTGCGGTGAGCGGAACAGTACGGTATATCCCAGGGCGACCTGGCAGTGCACATTTGCAGCGTTTGTCTGCAGGCAGTGTGGAGTCTCCTCAGTCAGGCGCCGCACGGATGCTGTATACACTGACCACTCGGCTGCTCACGGGCTTGCTACTGACAAACGGAAACAGTCCTACCGTTTACAATGAGATGGGTCGTCTCCAAGGGCACAGCCAGGGTCGTCCTGAAGGGGAGCTCCGGAACAACACACCACGGCGATTCTTCAAATATTTGTCAGGAGCCATTTTTGGTTGATTATCTTTTGGTTGTGGTTATATTTTCTGGCTTGGTTATGTTCCTGATCGTCTCGTGCTTGTCAGATGAGTGATGGTGAACGGCGAAGCTTCCAGTCGGAAGCCAGTAACTTGTGCTGTCGCAAAAGGATCCTCTCTGTCTGCTCTCCTCTTCTCAATGTTTATAAACCATTGAACGCCCATCATTCAACCTGGCTGCCTTCCGCGCTCCGATAAGGCTCTAATTTTGGCGAAATTGTGTCGCCACCTGACGGACAAATCTTGAAATTCGGACCCGATCGTATCAAAGCCAAGTCCATCAGTAGGTAACTAGCACTCAGTCGTATAAAATGCAAAGTATTTGTGATGACAGTCATGTGCGCGACCATCAAGGCAAAGCAAGTTTTCAATGATGCGGAGATGGAACACATTGGGGGGATTCGCGACCTGGGTGTCCCCCGTCAGCATCGGGCAACATTTTCACCTTGACACTTGTAATCAAATTTCATGATTTAGTAGTTAAGTAAATTATGCTGAGCCCACGTTACACTTCTTACTTACATTGCATTGCATTATATCACATTGCATTATTACAATGGACAGTATTATGTCATGTTCAACAGCAGCAAGTTAGTGACAAGGTCAATGGATTGCCGAGTGCATTCTGGACACGTGCGGTACGCTGCTTGCATGCGCCCAAGGACTCCCCGCCGGCCGAGTGTGAAGTCGAACCCGAGCGGAAAGCCGGCGAGACGCTGTCTGCAAAACCTCCCCGTGTCTGTGAAATGAACGTCTCCAAGTGAACATGACGTTAACGGTTTCCCCAACAGCCATTTAGCGACCTATCATTGCTTCCTAATACTGAAAAATAGTGACCCGTGCCGCGGCAGGTCAACAGCGATGCCCTCATCAACAGAGGATGGTCCTCTGAGCAAGCGAGAAGAACCCAAGACCAATGTGGGGGGCCATGAGCGATCGGGATTATCGGAAGTGCCTTGAAAACTTAGCATATAGCACCACCGGCCGCTGCGCAGGTCCTCCGAGTAAACGGGAACAGCCTATGACCAATGTGGAAAGCCGTTGAGCGATCGGGAGTGCCTTGAAAGATGGACGCACGGGGCACTGAAAACAGCGCAGCATCCTCTGAGTGAATGTGGAGCATCCATGATCAATGTGGCGGGCCTCTAAGAAATCAAAAGTGTCTGGGCACTCTTACAAAAAGGTCCCGACGACCTTGCGGACCGTAGGGCCCTCCGCAAATGGGACCAAATTGAAAATCATTAGAACATAGTAGAGGACTCCTGAGAATCGAGTGCCTTTGTGGGATCAAGTATATGCCTTAGCGACAGAGCAGGGCCCTTCGAGCAAGTGGATGCAACCCAACACCAATGCGAACGGCCCTTGAGCAGCCGACAGCACCACGCAAGGTAACATATGGTGGTCCCTTTAGCAGCGTAAAGACCCTTTCGGGCGAATGGGAAGAATCAGTGCAGGGCCCCTGATAAAAAAGAGCGCCCCGTCAGGTTAGCAAATCGGGCCCGGACAACAGCATAGGGCTCTTCA